ATCTCACTCTGTTTCCAACACCCAAAAAAAACAGAGATTTGGTTTAACTTCATCATCATCATCTCCTTGAGTTCTTCTCCTTGTAATGGACCTGAAGATTCCTGGGTTTTGATACTTAGGGATCAATCAGGACAAAGATTTTGTTCTTGGTCTTAAAGGCTAGGGTTTTTATTTTTAATTATCATGGGCTGCATTTGCTCAAAAGGAGCATCAGAAGATGGAGAAGACGTTTCTTATCATCGTGGGAAAGGAAATGAATACTGGAACAAATCTTCTTCTGTACAATTGATTGCTCCTTTGCCTTCAAGTAAAGACGATTTTTCGCATAAAGCCGTTGATGGAAGCTCTGGTGGTGGAAGAAGAGCAAGTGGTTTGATTGTTCCTATTGATGATAGTCATGATGGTAAAACAGTTATTGTAGAGAGACCTTCAAGGTCTCATCGAGGAAGAAGAGTTTCAGATAATGGCAGAGGAGGATTGATTATTTCGAATGTTCCTCGTAGCGCAGAAGCAGAGCTTATTGCAGCTGGATGGCCTTATTGGTTAACCTCTGTTGCTGGTGATGCCATTAAAGGTTGGATTCCTCGCCGTGCAGATTCCTTTGAGAAGCTTGACAAAGTTAGTTTATTTTTCTTTGTCTAATATCATATAATACAATGGATTGGATTGTGTATGAAGCATTGTGATTTGCAGATTGGACAAGGGACTTACAGTACGGTGTATAAGGCTCGGGATCTTGAGACCGGTAAGATAGTGGCGATGAAGAAGGTTAGGTTTGCTAATATGGATCCAGAAAGTGTGAGGTTTATGGCAAGAGAAATCAACATTTTGCGAAAACTCGACCATCCAAATGTTATGAAACTTGAATGTCTTGTCACTTCAAAGCTATCAGGTAGCTTGCATCTTGTGTTTGAGTACATGGAGCATGACCTTTCAGGCCTTGCTCTTAGGCCTGGTGTCAAATTCACTGAGCCTCAGGTACTTTAATAAAAGCTTTCGTCGTTAAATCGCTTTGTTTTGGCCAATCAAATTCACTAGTTTGTTTTGTGTTTTTTAGATCAAGTGTTTTATGAAACAACTGCTTTGTGGACTTGAGCACTGTCATAGCCGTGGAATACTTCACCGCGACATCAAGGGTTCTAATCTTTTGGTTAACAATGATGGAGTTCTCAAGATTGGAGATTTCGGTCTGGCGAGTTTTTATCAACCAGACCAAGGACAACCGTTGACTAGCCGTGTAGTAACCTTGTGGTATAGAGCACCTGAGCTTCTACTGGGATCTACAGAGTATGGGCCTGCCATTGATCTCTGGAGCGTTGGTTGCATTCTTGCAGAACTCTTTGTAGGTAAACCAATCATGCCGGGAAGAACAGAGGTGAGTTTTAGATACAGATTATTTGTATTTGAATCCATACTGCTTCGGCCTAGTACCATTGATTTTAACTGGTTTGTATCTTCAAGGTGGAGCAAATGCATAAGATCTTTAAGCTGTGTGGTTCACCATCTGAAGATTTCTGGGAAACAACAAAGCTTCCACAGGCGACAAGCTACAAACCGCAACATCCTTATAAGCGTGTCCTTCTAGAGACGTTTAAGAATTTACCGTCTTCTTCTCTAGCTCTACTGGACAAGCTACTATCTGTGGAACCAGAGAAGAGATGCTCAGCTTCTTCCACTCTAATGACCGAGGTAACGAGCCATCAACTTTCTTCATTAACTTTCTCGATCGCTCTCTGGGATAAACTGATAAATGATTCACTCATTCATCTCTAGTTTTATACAACGGAGCCACTCCCATGTCACATATCAAGTTTGCCTAAATATCCGCCAAGCAAGGAACTCGATGCAAAGGTTCGGGATGAAGAAGCAAGAAGGTGAGTATGCAAGAAGATCACTTTACTCTTCTACGAACAATGAATGCAAGATCATCCTAAACAAGCTTTCTTTTATGAACTTTTAGGAAAAAAGCAGAAGCTGTGAAGTGGCGTGGACACGAATCCGTGAGAAGAGGTTTAAGAGACAAGGCAACACCAGAGTTCATTGCTTCAGGGCATTCTAATGTCTCAATCAACACCCCGGCGTTCAAGAAAGAAAATGGAAGATACGACAAAGAAAAGAGGTTTTCTGATACCAATTCAATGGTTCATCCAAATGTAACCGCAACCTGGAATAAGAATGAAACCTCTAGGAGCAGTGTAGGCGAAGTGAAGGCTAGTCGGTCCAACAACATGCCCGTTACAATGGGAGACTACTTAACTAGCGCTTCACAGAAAGAAAATGTAGCTTGCAGAGAACCCACAACGGTAACTGAGTTTATTTAACTGACTTAACTCTTTCCTTTTGCCTTCCTTTAAGAGATATTGGACTCTGAGATGCTTCTTGTTATGTGGTTTCAGACATACATGCGAAAGAAGAACCGAATGCACTATTCGGGTCCATTGATGCCTCCTGGTGGTAACATTGAAGAGATGATGAAAGATCACGAGAGACGGATCCAAGAAGCTGTACGCAAGTCGCGCCTCGAGAAATCTGCAACAAAGAAGAACAAAGATATCCCAGTCAAAGCATGTGCTTAGAGTGGAAATGGCATGCGACTGAAACTCCTTGGAAAGCATGAAAAACAAGAAAAAAAAAAAATGATTTCAGAAGTTTTTAGCTGGAGATTGCTTGTGGTCTTTGCATATGGCAATCTCTGTTTCATGCTGCTCTCTGTCTCAGACATATCTTTTGTTAGGGGAAGCAAACAATGTGTATATTTAGAACTACTGGGTTTTAGTAGTGCAAGTCAATTTATAGATTAGAAGGTTTTTTTAGTAGTCATTAACTGCAGAATACATAAGAGGTTTTTCAGAAAGCAAGCAAATCTTTTTCAATAGCATAGAAGTGCATTATTCTCAAGTACAAGCCTGTGAATTAAGCTATACATTTGGCGTAATAGAGAAAATATATATAGATTATAATAGTCTCAAGTTCTCTTAAAAACTAGCATCAATCTTTTAACATAACGTCTATGTATCCAGCTTCGGTTTCCGGCTAAGCTCTGAGTATTGACCGCCCATTAGCTGCAAAATCTCCTCCCATAAGTTTTCTGATGAAGCTCCACATATTAAATCCGAGCTGCACGCAGCAACATGCCAGTAATCTAATTCGATCTCTTCTCTAAGCTGATCTAGCTGCCAACCGGCGTAACCAACAAAGAATCTAAAGTCCTGTGGCTTAACAATTCCCTTCTTTAAAAGTATTGCAGCTTCGTCTAAGCTGTTCCGAGCACCAAAGTTAAGACCAGGCATGACTTCTTCAAACCCATGTATCTTGGTTTGATCTCCAGTTTTCAACAGGAACATGCTTGCCTCAAGAGGCCCACCAAAGTACAAGGAACATTCTGAAAACGTGGTAGCGAGCTCATTTTTAGTTGATTTCATGTGCTTGATGTTTTTGTGAAGGGGACGGTTGATGACAACTCCAAATGGCCCTTCTTGAGGGTGCCTGGTTCCTGCTCTAAGAAGAAGCACAACAGTTCTTGCAAACGTTCTATAACCGTCTAGCTTCTCTGTAGCAACTAGAACGCAGCCAGTCTCAGGAAAGGGAATCGGGTGTGCCCATTTCAGCCCTACCTGTTCCGATTCATGAGAAGGAGTGGCTGGTTTATGACCCTCAGCTTCTGCCTTTTCTTCCTGTGACATCACTTAAATCGTAAACCCTGCCGACTTATATACAATTTCCCAAGAATGTGTTCATGATATAACGACGGTCATTGCGACATGAAAAACTAGCAGATTAGATTACCTGCTCCTTCATAAACAAGTTTGCTCTGAATTCTCTCCAATCCATATTAAGACCGAACGGCTTCGGAGTCGCAGAATCACCTGATTTGTTGCCATTAGAAGGCTTGTTTTCCTGAGAAGCATCTCCTTCAGAAACAAAAATGGCTCCACAATCAGAAACAAAAGTAGTAGACTCATAATCCTACATTCACTACAATAAACCGATCCCAAACTTCCTGAGTATCGACAAATCCTCACAAACATAACGAAGCAAATGCTAAATTGATCAATCATAATTGCCTTAATTCCATAATTCCTAATCCAATCCCAGAAATTTGGTCAAATAATCGAGTAAGGCTTACCAGATGAAGAAGAATCGTCGTTACTCTTCTTCGAGGTGGCTCTGACAACCAGAGAACGATACCCAGAAGGAGAAAACTTGCGATTGAGAAACCTAATCTCCAAGGAACCAAGTTTCCATGAAAGCGATGATTTTTCAGGGATCGATATCGCCGAGGAGAAGAAAGGGTTTCGGATCGACGCGTCCTTTACCCGAATGGACAACAGATCCATGGAGGCGATCAGTCGGAAACTCCGATAAGAGTGCAGTGGGAAGGTGTTTAGTTTGATTCGTTAAGAAGAGATGATGAGT